TGTGTGTTTTTAAAAAATTCAAAAATTTTTCGTGTTTTTTTAAAAGATTATTGATTTTGATTGAGTTTTTTGTGTTTTTTAATAACTCATTTCTATAAATACTTGTAATTGATGATAAAAACATATTATCTCGATGGATTTCTATGAAATTTAATCTTTTCTCTTCTATGTTATCTTCGTGAATTAGTTCTTTTAATATTAAGATTAAAGAATTTCTAGTTCTTTGTACGTTTGAACTCCACGGGTCAATATTTTCTAGTTTTATCGATTCGGTTAATAAATGTTTGTATCTCTCTTTTAAATTTCTACCTAATTTAATCATTTTTTTTTTACCATCCTAAAAGAAATAATAACTTTTAGAGAAAAGTAAAGCAATGAAATGATTTACATCTGTTAACTGTCCTAGTCCATAAGGTTGATAATCATCGGGATTAACCGGGATTTGCTTTGGAAAATAAAGTCCAGCATCGGGAGTTCTATTTCCATGTCTAAATATCTTTAAAAAAAATATTTCGAAATCTTTTTATAACAAATTTTTTTACTTACCACGTGAAGCAACACTAAAGATCCTTTTTTATCGGACATTTCTAAATCGATCCTCAAACAAACATCCACTGACCTTCAACTAATGTAACAGATATTTTTTGGTGTCGAATTTTTTTTCGTTGCGCAACCAAGATTAAGTTTATTTGGTGGTCTAACTTAATTTTTTTTATTAATAAGAACTGTAAGAGGAATAAAAAATGAACCAGAAGAAGGCGTTATTCATTATTTTTTGAAATCTCCGAGTCCCACACAAATGCTTGACCAAAGTGTCAGCTTTGGGAGATTAATAGAGAGACGGTACTCGACCCTTTCCACTAGAAACTCCCGTTCGTAATCTATCAAAATCACAATCAGAGTTGGGGAAATATTACTCTCGCATTAGAGACCTCGGATAAGAGGGTCATCCTTTTTTTTGCCAACCTTTTTCTTGGTTTATCATAAAAACTCGTAATACACTTTGTTCAAAATTTTAATTCATTCAATATAAGAAATTTTCCCAAAAATAGGCAAAATAGATATTGGTCTAAAGTTAGAAGGTTCATTTTGAAGGCTTTTTTTGTGTATAAGAACAACTTTAGCTATTTTCAGACAGTTAGGGAGTCTGAAATGAACGTATACCCCCGCAAAGGCCAAAAATATATTGCCAAAGAAACCAGAGCATATCTACTTACTTTGTCTATGTCAATATAATTCGACATTACAGTAAAACCGCGATATAACGGATCAATACGAGGAACGCACTATCCGTTATAGCTCAATAAAAATATACAACAATTCTGCGCTGAACAACAAATAAAACTAGACTAACACTAGAACTAGAAACATTCCGTTTGGCCCTACCCCTCTTAAGCATCCGAATATTTCTAGTTCTAGATCTAGTGTTAGTTCTAGTTTTACACTAGCACTGTTACTAGAATTAACACAAGACCAAGAACTAGAATCATTCGGGTTTAGCCGTCTTAAGAACCATACGGCTAAACCCAAATGTTTCTAGTTCTAGTCTAATATTAGTTCTGGTGACATTGCAAGTGTAAAACTAGAACCAACACTAGATCTAAAACTAGAATCATTCGGGTTTAGCCGTCTTTAGAGAAGTGCAGCTAAACCCAAATGATTCTAGTTCTAAGTATAGTGTTAGTTTTACATAGTAATAGTGCTAGTGTAAAACTAGAACTAACACTAGACCTAGAACCTAGTTACTAGGTCTAGTGTTAGATTTGGCCGAGAATGTTACAAAAAAACTTTTAGAACAAAAGTTGTAGAAAATTTTATTCTTAACAATATTGCTCTCTTGTAATTTTGCTCTCAGATGCGTCAATATCGAGAAAAATATAAAAATATAAAAATTTGATGAATTTCGTTATTTTACTAGTTGGTAATGGTAACATCCAGGAAACAGATAATGTTACAAAGGGACTTTTAGAACAAAAGTTGTAGCAAATTTTATTCTTAACAATATTGCTCTCTTGCACTTTTGCTCTCAGATGCGTCAATATCGAGAAAAATATGAAAATATAAAAATTTGATGAATTTCGTTATTTTACTAGTTGGTAATGGTAACATCCAGGAAACAGATAATGTTACAAAGGGACTTTTAGAACAAAAGTTGTAGCAAATTTTATTCTTAACAATATTGCTCTCTTGCACTTTTGCTCTCAGATGCGTCAATATCGAGAAAAATATGAAAATATAAAAATTTGATGAATTTCGTTATTTTACTAGTTGGTAATGGTAACATCCAGGAAACAGATAATGTTACAAAGGGACTTTTAGAACAAAAGTTGTAGCAAATTTTATTCTTAACAATATTGCTCTCTTGCACTTTTGCTCTCAGATGCGTCAATATCGAGAAAAATATGAAAATATAAAAATTTGATGAATTTCGTTATTTTACTAGTTGGTAATGGTAACATCCAGGAAACAGATAATGTTACAAAGGGACTTTTAGAACAAAAGTTGTAGAAAATTTTATTCTCAACAATATTGCTCTGTTGCACTTTTGCTCTCAGATGCGTCAATATCGAGAAAAATATGAAAATACAAAAATTTGATAAAATTCGTTATTTTACTAGTTGGTAATGGTAACATCCAGGAAACAGAGATTGTTACAAAAAAACTTTTAGAACAAAAGTTGTAGCTAATTTTATTCTTAACAATATTGCTCTCTTGCACTTTTGCTCTCAGATGCGTCAGTATCGAGAAAAATATGAAAATATAAAAATTTGATGAATTTCGTTATTTTGCTAGTAATGGTAACATCCAGGAAACAGATAATGTTACAAAGAGACTTTTAGAACAAAAGTTGTAGCAAATTTTATTCTCAACAATATTGCTCTCTTGCACTTTTGCTGTTAGATGCGTCAATATCGAGAAAAATATGAAAATATATAAATTTGATGAATTTCGTTATTTTACTAGTTGCTAATGGTAACATCCAGGAAACAAATAATGATACAAAGGGACTTTTAGAATAAAAGTTGTAGCAAATTTTATTCTTAACAATATTGCTCTCTTACACTTTTGTTATCAGATGCGTCAATATCGAGAAAAATATGAAAATATAAAAATTTGATGAATTTCGTTATTTTACTAGTTAGTAATGGTAACATCCAGGAAACAAATAATGTTACAAAGGGACTTTTAGAACAAAAGTTGTAGCAAATTTTATTCTTAACAATATTGCTCTCTTGCACTTTTGCTCTCAGATGCGTCAATATCGAGAAAAATATAAAAATATGAAAATTTACTAAATTTCCTTGTTTTACTATTAGCTAATGGTAACATTCGGGAATCGAAGCATGTTACAAAAAAACTTTTAGATCAAAAGTTGTAGCAAATTTTATTCTTAACAATATTTCTGTGTTACACTTTTCCACTTTGATGCATAGATATTGAGAAAAATGCGAAAATATGAAAATTTGCTGAATTCGTTATTGTTTCTAAGATGTGAAGGTAACACTGAGGAATATGAGCATATTGCAGAAAAACTTTTAGAACAAAAGTTGTAGCAAATTTTATTCTTAACAATATTGCTCTCTTGCACTTTTGCTCTCAGATGCGTCAATATCGAGAAAAATATGAAAATATAAAAATTTGATGAATTTCGTTATTTTACTAGTTGGTAATGGTAACATCCAGGAAACAAATAATGTTACAAAGGGACTTTTAGAACAAAAGTTGTAGCAAATTTTATTCTTAACAATATTGCTCTCTTGCACTTTTGCTCTCAGATGCGTCAATATCGAGAAAAATATGAAAATATAAAAATTTGATGAAACTCAAACTTATCACAAGGACCTCACCTTTTAAAAACAAAACTTTTCCTTTGCAAAACTACCCAAAGCCTGTACTATTAAGTTATGTTGCGTTTTATGTGGGACAGTGTAAATTTCGTAACTATGTTAATATTATAATTATATTATATTTTTCCTCCAATGATGTCACGTTACCTTATAACAAGTTATAACCAATACTCAACGAACCTTGTTCTTCAATTTGGAAACCACTTTGCGTAATTCATTTAAAGTTATTGGGTTAAATCCAAATCTCTCAACATTAGAAGCATCATAGTTACCATTATTAACAGGTGAATTTGTATGAAGGTAGGAGAGGAATTCAAAAAAGAGTCATTGGAAGGATTAGAAACAGCAGCGATGATATTTTCAGCAACATTGGCAAAATATGTATTCAATTCTGTGGCAGTCAACATGTTGGTAAAGCGGTCATAAATTTTTTGCGAATTGCGCTGTGGATATCAAATCCGGACGTTGTCTATTTATGTCAACCAGCAGGTGCATAACATCGGTTTCATAATGAACCCATAAGATATAATTTATAAGCAATTTTAGCCAATTTGCAGGAATGAAATGAAACTGGCTAGCTTAATGTTATTAGTGAACCAGAAAACTTTTTTCTCATTGTCTACCTTGCGATTGAGAACTCTTATTTTGCAAATTAGTGTCATCAATAAAGCCAAAGTCAACCTGGTCAAGAGTGTTACAAAATTGAAGGAGTCCCAGACTGAGCATGACATGTGTGAAGTTGTAGTGGTCCTTTTAGATTCTATTGTCCTTGCCAAACTCCATATTAAATTAATTCCATATTAATAACTTTTGTCCACGACTACCTTATAATATATAAAGAGGTAGTTATTTTTCAATTCACTTATTTGAAACGTCAAAATTTCAAGAAACGTCAATTTAATTTAATTTTTTTAGGACTTTCTAAAGGATTGACATTAAAAAAACGTAAACATACTCTTTTTCTCGTATGATTTAAGTATAAATTAATTAATTTTCGTAAAAAGCGTTTCATAAAATTGACATTTAATTTTGACAAATTGTTGTGAAGTTGGTTACAGTTGGTAACATTGAATTTGTGTCACATTGACGTTTAAACTTTATTCAAAAATTTATTTAAAAGTTTTTACAACCAAGATAATAAAACATCAATAATTATTTTCATATACACATTATTTATTACATTCTTTCAGATAATTCGATCATACAAACACATTCAAAGGCCATCATCAATTACATTAAACTATGTACAAAAAAAATCCTAAGTTTAATAAACGACACTAGGCTGCCGTAACGTGTGTCTTAGCGTGTCGATTTAATAACGCCGAGTTTTTAAATTGCTCCCCACATTTTTCGCACATTAAATTAACATCGGATTCGTCTTCTTCGTAAGCATGACACTGCATGTGCGATCTTAAACTTCCCTCGCTAGGGAAACTCTTAGGGCACTTAGGACATTTATTGTCCACCCTTAAAATTATAATTTCTTCTGGTTCCTCTTCAGAGCTGTCCGACGATATTAGTGGTGGTGATGATGGTTCTGGCACCGACTTGGGAGGCCTGCCTCTAGGTCGTTTTGGTGGCACCTCTATCACCGTATCAGAATCTTCATCATCACTATCGCTTATTGTTATTTCAATAAACGGTTTCTTCTTCGATTTGCGTTTCCTTCGCGGTGTTTTTTCAACTTCTTCGTCATCCGTATCGCTAAGTTGTATAAATTCGGTTGGTTGTAACGGGACGCGCTCTTTTAAAACACCATCTTCGGAGGTTTCCACAAAACCGTTTGATGAAACAAATACTTCCTGAACGACAATTTCTTCATCGGTACGTTCCATAGGTTTAATTTTTTGTTTTCTTGGTAAACGTTCTTGTCGTATTGGCGCATGAATGATTTTAGTGTGGGCGATGTAATTATGAAATTGTCGCGCTTGTTGAGCTTCCTTGCTTTTCGCGAAGCGTTTATCGTACTTTTCTAAATCTTCCGCGACTTTTTTCGTTGGCTCAACAATGGGAATTGAAGTTTTTAAAATACTTCTGGGATTTGTGCTTATTAGTGGTGATGTGTTTTGGTATTTGACCAAGTTTTCTTTTTCGGGGTCGCGGATCAAATAATAGAATTGCCCCTCTAATTCATTTCCTGATGATTTTATATCGCTCACTTTGATTTTTCTTAAAATGTTTTGGATTACTTTCCGTTTTCCGGGGATTCTTTGATAACTAAATTTTCGATTTAAATCGAAATTTGTGCTTATTTCGCGTACTTCATCTCCTGTTACATGATCCCCATCAATTGAGTCGTTTTCGGATTCCTCTTCATCTTCTTCTTCTTCATAATCATCGTCGTCGTCGTCCTCTTCTTCTTCCTCCTCTTCTAACTCTTCCTCTATGGATATAGATGATTCCAGATATGAATCTATATTTCCACTTTCTACAAGTTCAGAGCAATCTTCATTTCCATTATGATGAATTTGATTTTGTTTTTTTAATAACTCATAAGTGTTTGGAATTTCTTCTAATAAATTCTCTCCAGAATTTTCTTCATTTAAATATGATTTATGTTGAAATGAAATTTCTGGAATACCACCTTCAACTTTAACATTAGTGAGATTTGATTCTTTTTCCATTGTTACTTCTTCCATGGACTCATGAAATATTTGGTTTTCCTCAAAATCCATTGCAGACTCATCAACTGTTTCAAGGAGAGCTTGTTTATGCCCCAATATCCCTTCTTTGGTATCCCTTGGGTCTCTTTCAAACAAAACATCTTGATTGAAACCATCAGCTTCAGAAAGAAGTTGTTGCTCTTGTTTTACAAATATTGGGTTTTGGGGTGTTTCTGGAACTTCGGGGATTTGCTCAATTTCTTCATCATCAAGTGGAATAACTTGGAGAGTGTCAGGAAGAGCTTCTAATATTCCATCTTCCGTTTGTCTAAAAAATAACACCTTGAAGTATCAAAAATTAATCAATTTTCGTACTTACCTAACTTTAAATTGATATTTCCTTAAAATTCCCGTTTCATCTTGTAAAAACTGCACACCATAAAGCTCATCACTGTCATCAACTCGATATAAAACAACTTGTCCCCCTTGCTCATCCGAAACTCCACCTTCCTCTTCCGGTTGGCTCATAGGGTTATGTTCAAAATCAACATCATTCATTTCATTGAGAACTATTTCATTTTGAGAATCTAATATGGATAAATACTGAGTTCCATCTCCGTTAGTTGTGATATAGGGTTCAGAAACACTCTCAAGATCACCTCCTTGCACTAAAATCGCTTGTTCCATTGAAATTGATTCTTGGTATTGGTCATTACAAAAATTCGTTCGATTCGACATTATTTCGTACGTAAAACTAGCATTTAAATCAATTTAAAAGTATTTATGTGAGTTTCTTGGTTATGTTTGGAAATAAGTCCCTTTAATTTTTTTGTGGGAAAGATGCATAACAAATCCTCACAATTTTCGAATTTTATGAAGCATTAATTCAATCCAAAAGGCTCAAATACAACAATATCTTTAAGATTTTCGTGCAAGATCTTATTTGTACACTTGATAAATAACCTAACCTCAAAGTACAAAACAAAGATGGAGGATATATTTATTTCTATTTGAAATGAAATGTTATAAATATTACTGTTTATTTTGGAATTATAAGCCAAAATTTAATTTAATCATAATTAAAATAAAAATAAATAATATCCTAAATTACAAATCCAATTAGAAAAAATATTGAGGACAATTATCGTTAATAACGCCATCTTCTTTAACGACTTTTAATTATAATCGTTAGATAAGAAAAGGAGCAGATAGGCAACTCAAAATACATCAAAATATTTTTCTAACCTATAAATAACCAGTAAAAGTAAATAATTCTATTATTTCGTATTTAAACGAAATTTGACCGTAAAATGAATGAAGAAAATGATCCGATAAGAGACCCCGATTATCAACTAACCGATTCAGTTAAGCACCAGAAAAAGATACGGGAAGATCTTGGTGAGAACTCGCTCAATAAGAAAACTCAAAACTCCTTATTTACATTTAAAAAATTTCAGAAAATAAGCAAATGATAAATAAAATTAAAACTGTAATAAGACGCGAATTTCAAAAAGAACTGGAAACCCGCGAAAAACAGCTTGAATTAATTCAACAACGACTAACTAAAGCAGCAAAATCTTTACACCTATTACGTTACTGTTTAATAACCAGTTATTACAACAAAAATGAATTTCAAGTTAGTAGCAGTAACGAAGACGTACCTTTTATTGATAAACAAAGTAGAATTCATCCAGCTGTTAAAAGACTATTAGGAAACAATTCTGAACATATCTACAGCAATTTAGGACTTAGAAAGAAAAAACATAGAGAATTTATTGTTAAAGAAGAAATAAAAAACACTACTGATATTAAAATTGAGAAACCCCTTAATATCGAGGTTAAAAATGAACCAAAAAAAGAAGAGATTGAAACACTTTCTAATGTAAACTTAATTCGTAATAGAAAACTTTATAAACATCAAATTGTAATTGGTAACATCTCGAAATGGGCTCCATCAGAATCACCTGAAGATAGTTCAACACATAAATGGATGGTTTATATTCGAGGACCTAAAGAATACCCTGATATATCTCATATTATTCAAAAAGTTATTTTTAATTTACATCCTTCTTATAAACCAAACGATGTTATTGAAGTAATGTATGAATCACATATTATTAAGTTATAAAACAATTTGTTTAATTATTTATTTTTTTTAGGAAAAGTCCTTTTCATTTATCTAGAAGAGGTTGGGGTGAATTTCCTTTAAGAGTACAATTATTTTTTCATGGCGAATTAAATAAACCTGTTGATGTTATTCATAATTTAAAATTAGATAGAACTCGAACTGGAAGACAAACTTTAGGTAAAATTTTCACAAACTGTCTAATTCTGACGTCACATAGATGGGCGGAGCTTATAACAGCTGAGCTGTTATAAGCTCCGCCCACCACTGTGACGTCAAGGCTTAGGTTGTCTATTTCTTAATAATTAAATATAATCTATATTTTAGGAAATGAAACTATAATTGAATTATCACTTTATGATATGAATAAAGGAGATATGAAAATACGTAAATTAAATGGCATTTGCGAAAAAACGAATCCAGAAGAAATTCAAGAAAATAAAGGTGAAATAATAATAAAAGAAGAGGTACCTGAGGAATTAAGTGCTAATGATGAATCAAAAACTATTCAAATCGAAATTAAGAAAGAAAGTTTGTCAGAATGGGATTTAACAACTTATATTGATTTTGAACATAATTATTGTCAAAAAAATAGCGTTGAAACCGAAAATTCTGCGAATTCAAACGAAATATCAAAAGAAATTAATGTAGTACAACCGATTAATGGCGGTTTAATTGGGAATAAGAATAAAAGGAAATTACCTGTTTTAACTTTAAATCCATTGTTTAATAAACGAATAAAAACCGAGTTTTTTGAAGATCCTGAAAACGTGGACATGGAACGATACGAAATCAATTTAGATTTATATAAATTAAAAAATTTGGATCAAACTCTTATTGTGTTATTTAAAAAGTTACCTTTAGTTAACGAAGTTGCTCAATATGGAAATTATAAATGGATGTATCCATTCACTGCTTCTTCTGTTGCTGAATTTACAAATTGGAATGTTGCTAAACAATTTTCATCAGAAGTAAGTAATGTAATACTACAAATAAAATAAAAAATACGATATTGTTTTGTAGTGGGCGAGATCTCAATTAATCCGAAAATTAATTCAATCGGCATTCAAAATCCCATCAATAACCACAAAAAATATTCTCAAATTTGGTAGAGCACATGGTTTCACATTTCCATTAACATACGACGTTTATCCTACGTTTAACCAAAAAATCTTGGATTATAGCCAATTTAAAACCGATTATGAGTGGAAAAATTTATCTTTTGAAGAAGAAACGCACATTGACATTATCGGAAATTCTAGTAATAAACCCAAAAGAGAGGAGGGAATCTTAATAAAATGGACAGATAATTTTAAAGATGAACGTTCGTTCGTTAAACAAACCGCTTTAGACGTTGGAGTTTTATTAAAACAGGACCAAATTATTCCTGGAGTACTTTATAGCACTTCTGAGAGAATTATTTACGAATGTGTTAAAAGTTTTGCAGAGGATTTAATTAGAAGATCGTTATGTTGGGCTGTTACAAATGAAAAATTTGACAAGTAAGTTAAAGGAGAGGTTAATATTTCACAATAATTACATGAAACGATTTATTTTTTTTACAAATTTGGGTGGAAAAGTCTTCCTAGAGTTAACTAATGATGTAAACAAATAAGTAATTAAATTCGTAACTACAGTTTACTTAAAAATCCTTTGGTTTTAAAATTGCCGCCGAAAAATAGCTTTGTAAACATGACTTCATTTTATTTCTCCGAATGCAACCAACATCGCAAATCGCGTATTGCAATACCAATACTGTGATATTGGTTGCATACTTACAATGATGACGTTGGGTACGATAATTAATTAACACACTGTATTCATCTACTTTGGGTACTTCAAAGTCTAGTTTTATAGTGTTGTTGTTTTTTTGTTTCAGTGATAGTTTATTGACACCATCACACATCATTAAAGGTTTACATCACAGGAAAGAATTCAAAAAATTATTATCATTTAATAAAGACACTTTTAGATATTAATTTATTTAATATACAAAAAAAAATAAAGACACATTATGTGTAAATACTTTTATAAAAAAAAAACGCATGAAAAGAACTTTTTCTATATATTAAACTTAAGTTTTTCTTTCTTCCACTAATTAATAACAATGAAATTCCTAAAAATAATTTATAAAAGTTAACCTTCGATCCATCCCCAAAGAAGTGGTTGTTGGGGCTCACTTCCTACAACAATTTTTTTAAAAAAGAAATTCGTATAAAACGCCGTTTCGATATAAATTTATTAAAAAATGTGTTTATTTAAAGAAAATACTTACTGTGGGATCGCAATCAGCACAATGCCATGAATACCCCCTCCTTTTTGGGGTTTTCTTTAACGGCGGATCTAAACAGGTAAAATGATACCCCTTTTTACATTCGTCGCAATTAACTGATGTATTCGCGTAGCAATCTTCCTTGCACACGTCGCACGTGCACGTTGGTGATCCAATTGGATCTTTAGTTTGTTGTAATATTGGTGGTTCAGGGGGTATTATCGGCGTAACTATTGGAATTATTGGAATTGGTGGGGGAGGATCATTATTTTCGTTATTTACGTAAAAACATTGTGGGTTTGAACGTGAAGCCACTTCACCAGCTGGTAAAGGAATTGGTTTAATCTAAAAATAAATTGTGTCAAATTATTTTAGTTAATAATAATTTATAATACCTTAATAGTTATTCTTGGGTGTGGGGGATTTGGATTTTCCAAATCAATACTTTTCTTCTTTCTTTTCCTTTTGTGTTCTCGAACACTTCCGCCCAATTCCGGTGAATATCGATTCTTATGTTTATCCCTTCTGCGTTTTTTCCCACTTTTAACAGAAGTAATTAAAATAGTTTCAAGTCCTGTTGTATCAACCGGATTAGCCTCAACGGGAACGTTACAGCTATTATTAAAGCTAACATCTTCGTTATTCACCATTGAATTCATCATTTCCATTTCAACTTCGCGGTCTTCGTTTTTTGGCGAAGAACTAGGGCGTTCCAACGGTTTTATTTTTACTTTGGGTGTAAAAGAACTTTCTTGGTCAGATTTGTCCTTACTAAAACGACCGCGACTTCTTCTTGGAGCTACATTTAATTCGACTTCCGAGTCCGATGTTTTATCGCATTCGGAACATTGCCAACCGTATTGTTTCGATTTTTTCGGTAAACGTAATAACGGTGGGTTGAGGCAGTTTAAATGATAATATAAATGACAAGTGTCGCATTTTGCTAATAAATGTTGATCTCGTTTTTGTTTACAAGTTGCGCATTCGTGAAGAAGTAACGGATCTTGATTTCTAGCGTGACTGCTTAAAACACGATCGTTTCGATTTGATGGGATGTTATTTAACGGGAAACCAACGCCCATTTTTAACGCCGCCGCTGTTGGGACAACTAAATTCTGTGGTTGTCTTGTTATGATCGGTTTTCCGATGTCTTCGATGTTCGGTAATTTTTTATTGGGGCATAAATACGAGATAAAATCGTGACATTTCGTTACTAATTCTTTTAAATTTGAACTTTTTGCTAATTCTTCGTTATGTTCTTTACTTACCTCTTCGTATTTATCCCTCAACGATTTCTGTTCGTCGTTTAAAACTTTATTACTTACAATTAATTCTTCTAAAGAATCTTGCATCCCTTTTAACCTGTCGTTACGATCGAGATAATATGCGATAAATTCAACTGTAAACGCTGGTGGAATATGCCACTTTCTACGAATATCCATTAAAGTCGTTATTTGGGTCTCTTGCATTTCTAATTGAGATGTATCTATTCCCATTAATTCAGCTTTTTTTAATAATTTTCGACAGGCTGATGCACTTGTTGTTAATAACCTTGGCATCTTTTGTGTTGGAACTATAAAATAAATTAGAAAAATATGAAGGCTTTCATGGCCAGTGTTAATTAAACTAAAATTAGAATTAACAGTAAACCTGAAGCAGTATTCAGGGGACTGAAGAGGATGAGATCCAGAATGAGACATAGTTGGGGGCGATGGAGACAGTGAAGAAGAAGCTATTGAGTGTAATAAACGACGTATGGGAGTAAAAGGGTGTATCCCTAGTGATTGGAGTGACGAAAATCCACGTTTAATAAGAGAAGATCATACTCAGAGATCACAGAAAATTAATGTATGGACTGGTATTATGGGGGAGAATATAATTGGTCCATTTTTTATTAATGAAAATTTGGACAGATATCTGCAACTGTTAGAAAATCAAAATCCAACAAGATGGTGCTCCTCCACATTTTACTCGCGCAGTCCGAGATTTTTTAAGCCGCACGTTTCCAAACCGTTGAATTGGCAGAACTGGTGAAATTGAGTGGCCACCACGATCTCCTGATCTAACACCACTGGATTTTTTCTGTTGGGGGTTTCTGAAAAGTAGAGTTTATGCAACAAAATCAGAATCAATAAATAATTTGGAAAATCTCATATTTGAAGAAACTACCAATATCACTAGGGATATGTTCCTGATAGTTTATGAGCGTTTCGGTCATTGCGAGACCGAAGAAGGTCGACAATTTCAACATTTGTTATAAAAATCGTAATAAATTTTTGGTAGTCAACCCTTCATAATTCTTGAAAGAATTAAGATATAGGGTTTTGGTTTATGGGGTTGTATTTCTTTCTCCATTACCTTTAAAATAAGGTAAAACTCGATAAGGGAATGTAGTTTTTATGACTCAAATATTTTTCTTCACTCGTTCAAAACTTGTAGCTCCGTCCCGGGAGTTTTGGGAAACCCTGTATACTAAATAATAATAATATTAATAACATCGAAAACGCAACCCTAAAGCCCGAACTACATCACTATCTAATTCTTCTAAATTATGCTTATGCCGTGCCTGATTTGTGTGAACTCAAAATACTAAAGGTACCTCTTTATTATGACTTGTTTATGTACACCATCATAAAACTATTGCTCCTTCTATTGTTGGATCTTGGTGTGAACGATTATATCACAGAACAGCTAATAGATAGAGTGAAGGAGATGTACAGGAAGACTATGCCATGATTAAAGTGGGGGAAGAGTTAAGCGAGGTATTCTGGACGACGAAGGGTGCACGCTTAGTCCCACACTATTCGCAGGATTTGGAAGAGAGCCTTGTGAGGGGGCAAATAGATAAGGTGGTGATAAGAGGAACAAAGGTGCATGATTTGGTGGTCGTGGCTAGAGTGGCGGTGAAGATGATGAGGTCTCTGGAGAGATAGGTTAAGGCGAAGGGGTTGGAGGTAAACGTTGAGAAGACAAAGATCATGAAGAGAGATAGAGGAAGTGAAAGAGAATACATACCTGGAAAGCGAACACGGGACGGATTTGAGGATGGGTGGAAAGAATTTTTAGGAGGGATGTGAGAAAAAAGAATGGTTATGTTTGAGGAGCACAATGATGTACGGCGCAGAAGTATGGGGATGGACAGAACAAAGATTGCTGATGGGTACTAGAGTTGGCAAGGGAGACTCCAGGGTATGTAGTGAAGGAAAAGTTTAAGGTGGATGCAGTAAGGGTAAAGGCTGGGAGAAGAGCAGTGAAGTACGAGGAAATGATAGAAGGAAGACCGCATTGCAGGATCCTAGGAGAGTGCTGGAGGGAAATTAAGGAGAGGAGGCTAATATATGGGCAGAGAGATGGGGAAGATAGTGACAGAGGAACTGCCAAAGTATCTGTTGATGAAGGGGGATGATAAAGGGAAGATATTTGTAGCCAGATTCCGCTGTGGCAACAAGGAGAGAGAGAACAGGTACTAGGTAGACGATGTGGAGAGGTGGTGAAGCAGATTTTGGGAAAGGTACTGGAGAAAAACAATAAAACGCTTATTATTACACTAAATCTAGAATGAAGAGTTCCAGGTCTAGTGTTAATTCTAGTGATAATATTTAGTTTTTTTACCCCAAGGCGGTGTCCTTTGAATTTTATTACTCAAATATTTCTGCATAGATTTGCTTAATTTTTTATTAATCCTCAATTGTTCGGGTGTATCATTGTGGCCTCCTTTAAGAAATTGCAATTTTCGATAATGCATTCTTAATTGTAGAGCTAAATAATTTCGTTTTCGCCGTTTAACAAGTGTTTTATCCGAATGTAATTTACAATGAGCGTAAAATGGGTCGGCTTGATCAACTTCTTCGGTGTGCGCTTCCGATAAAAACCCTTCCCTTTGAGCGCTAAATAAAATCGATATAAATTTTGTGTTAAAAATAAAAAACGTTTTTTACCATGTAACATGAAAAAAATTCCTGCATAACCCGGCGTCACAACCAATACAAACTCCTGTTCTAGCGAATCTATCATCGACGCATAAACTGCAAGGTTTTGCGCCCCATTTGTTATACGGCATTTCAAACAAAGTTACATTTGAAAGTTTATCAACTTCGCCAAATGCAACGCCTGGTATGTAAAGGGCGCAAACCAAATGAACCCATTTTCCAACATCCGTCTCTTTAAAAATTCCCCCTGAATTCGGGCAGAGTTCGCAAATTGGAGTTTTTACGCCGGCGGTGCATGCTTCGCAAAACCAGGCAGCCGTTGGTGATAAAGAATCTGTGCTAGATAAACTGGCCGAATCAGTTATTCCATAACAAGCTTCATGGACGGTCACCCCACAGCTATCGCATTCAACAATTTCATTTATACCATCCGATTGATCTCCCAAACAACCACAACAAATTAATAATTGCGCAGCTTTCTCGTCGAGTGGTAAATTTTTCGATTGTGCATTTGCTTTTTGAATTATGTCGGCGACTGAAAGACCATTCGAGGGAAGATTTACCTTTATATCATCTAAATCGGAACTAGAATTATCTTCTTCATCATCGGTACTTTCCGATACTTAAAAAAATTAATTATTAAATTAATGAGCTTTTATTAAAACTTAAATTTGAGTGCGAGAAGTTAACCCCCCATTTTTTATTTTTAACCTTTTCATTGCTGTTTTAGATTGTTCTAGAGTTGTTTTACATTGTTCCAAAGCGTTAAATAGAAAAAATAAAAACTGAAAAAACGGGTTTTTCGACTAGCCCATTTTTAAAAAGATCAGATTTTCTTTGTTGTTCCAGGTTGTTCTAGAAAATCAAAATTATGGGATACAGAGACGGGTCTAAGGATTTACATTTTTTGGTATATATTTCAAATTTTTTCCGCCATTTTTAAACAAATTATGACGTCATCGCTATCTTTTTCAAATAGCAATCCCCATTTTTATTATGGAATATGAAAAAGGATTTTTTTCTGGATTTGGTACCACCAAATTAATATTAGCTACATAACAAAATTTTCGAGAAATATTGTCTTGAAGTTTGAGGTAGAAAAATAGCAGTAGCCATATGTAACCATGGCAACCAGTTGTTTCAGATACTTTATTAAGACAATGATTAATTTTTGATATCTGAAACTGTTGGTTGCCATGGTTAGGTACTGCTATTTTGCTATCTCAATTGAATAGGACGTGTTCAATAGGATTCAGATCAGGATTTAACGCCGGCCATTCCAGGACCTGAATGTCATGGAATGGCCGGCGTTCTTACAAAAAGTTTCTGGTGATGCCGGATTAGGATGAAATTTTGACCATATGAAGCAGGCACCACATGGTCCTCCAAGATGTTTTCGATGTAACTTATGGCATTTAGTCTACCAGCAACAATAACAAGATCAGTTCTCTTGTCTATACTGATTCCAGCCCAAACCATAACAGATCCCAGACCAAATCTATCCACTTCTTGTATAGTAGCAGCTGCGTAGCGTTCACCGGGACCACGAATTAAACGAAATCTGGACTTGTCTGTAAACAGTACAAGCGTCCAATGACGAAGTTGCCAATCTCTGTGATCCAGAGCTAACCTCATTCGCCCTGCTTTGTGATGCTGCGTAAGGCTTCATTCGCTTCTTTTAATCTGTTTCTAACAGTTTGATCAGAAATTTCCATTCTATATGCTCGTCTTAGGTCGTTTAGGAGGTCTTGTGCTGTGACAGTACGCGTACATAGACAGGAAAGGACAAGAAATCTGTCTTGATTTTGAGATTTAAACCTTGTCCAGCTCTTCTAACATGTTGGCCAGTCTCCCGAAACCGATTCCATAAACGCTGAATAACAGAAGGGGAAACTCGAAAATCCCTGCTAATGTCGAACAGAGTGGCCATGCTGAATAAGGGCGAGAGCATGAACAACTTGCACTTCACTAAGATGCCTCATGACGCTTTTAATCAACAAAAATTGACAACTGAATTAATTTGTCATCTTTAGTAGGCTTTCATTCGCGAATTCAAAACATACTTGACATTTTCCACTTTGTTTTGTGTTATTAATTTACATTTTTAAGTGTAACTTAGAAGTAACTAAGAGTTGTAATATTGTTTTTGTAATTTTCTTTAGTTAAATAAAGTTAGATTTCGAAAAATGTTCCCCTACTTTTTTTGAGCAGGGTATATAAATATATAATAAATACATCTATGTGTGGGTGAGACACAGAGATATTTAGTTTTTAATACATAATGTATAATACAAATAGTGTATTTTTGTTTGCTGATCGAATAGTTGGATTATTCATTTGTTGATTTATTATTTTTCTTGTTAAGTCTGCATTTTGCTATTTTTAAGAAGATATGATTTTGCAAAATTAATGTCTATGTAACCAGAAAAACCTTTTTTTCCCTAGCTTAAACCTAAAGCACATCTAGAACAATTTGAATCAGCAAAGTTTGAGTTATTTTAGATTGTTCTATGTGTTTTAATTCTTATTGTGCAATTTAAAACTTTAATTTTTAAAGAGTAAATTTATAGAGTTGTTTTAATGAAAATTGTAGCTGTTCCAGATTGCTTTAGGTATAATAAGTATATATTTGTAATAAGGAATCCCATAATTTTGATTTTCTAGAACAATAACTAGAACTACCCAAAACAACAAAGAAAATCAGATTGTTCCAAAAATGAGGGGCTAGTCAATAAACCCATTTTTCCTCAATGTAGAGCAACTCTAAAACAATCTAGAACAACAATGAAAAATTTAAAAATCAAAAAATGGGGGGCTAACTTCCCACACTCCTTAAATTTACCTGCTTCTTCGCAATTACTATCCATGGAATCATCATCGCTGATTTCGGGATGATCTTCAATCCGAAAATCCGAATCATCAGAACTTTCGCCTAAATCGAAGTCTAAAATCGATGATTGCGTTTCGACTGGTTTGACCCTTCTTTTTTTAGGATCTCTTTCAACTAAAAAAATATTCTAAATGAAGTTATTTATAACAAAGCGTCTATAACATAACCTAAAAACTAATTGATTAATCATAGTTTTGGTTAATTAAAGCGATTTATTAAGGATTTAGCGTAAAAATAAGGTTGATGTAAACGTATAGTTAAATAATATTACTAAAATGTAACCTACGAGAGCTCATTTCCATTGATTTTGTCGAAAAAACCTTTCGGTACGTTGACACATAACATAACCTAAAACGACGACCTTGAAAATAATAAACATGGCGTAAAGGACGCCGCTCATCGACACCGCATCAGAATGAGGATTTTAAAAAATTACAAAATAAACAATTTTGAAAAAGACCGCGAACGAAATGATCACTTAAACTATGTACTTACTGGCGGTTTTGGTTATAAAATCGATGTCTTCGGCTTTTTCAAGATGCGATGATACCGGTTCGTCCATTTTATTAATTTTTTTTCGACAGTCAGCAGAGGATCCTTTTCGTCCTGCGAGAAGGGAAGGCGTGGAACGCGCGGTCCAACCAGGAGTCCTTTCGGTGCCTGTTATCCTTCGTCGACGATCGATTTTCAACGGAGAAGAAAAAAAAAGTTATTTGTCAAAATATAAATTATGTTTGAAATGTGTCTTCTCAAAATTCTAACATTTTCTTTTTCGAATTATTTTTTTTCGTTTGAATTTGAAAAAAATGGGCTTGGTTACTTTTAGAGTTGGATTTTTACTCGGTTTTTCTGCCTCGGTACCTGAACAACATCAAAAAGGTAAAGAGAAAACGAAAAAAGATAAAAAAGATAAAAAGAAAAAAGACAAGAAGAAAAAAGACAAAAAGAAAAAAGATAAAAAGAAAGGTAAAGATAAATCATCGAAAACAACGAGTGAGGTACAAATTAAAGAAGAGCCACCAAAACCAGAATACGTCTTAGATGTTGGACCTCCTATAGGGTTTGCTCATATTGAGTATACTTTAATTCCCGATAGGCCCAAACAACAAGTTGATGTTGTTTGTTGGAGGGGGGTTGCAAAAGTAATTAATTAAACTTAATCTAAATGAAACACCCCAATTTTTCGTTCTGATTTAGGTGTTTTTTGAAGAAGGAGATATAATTTATCGTATAAAACTTACCGAGGATAAAGCTTGGGTTCCCGTTTTTATTGAGCATTGTATGAACACTTTCGAAGATGATGAATTAATTAAATTGCATCAACACGTAATTGAGTTTAAAATTTATAGCAACAAAAGTAAAGTTGCTCAAAAGTAAGGTTCAACCAAGTTTAAAGTTACAGGAAACTGTTTATAAATTAATAATTGATTCATAGATGGCGACACTAAAAAAATTTTTTAAAAATGTAAATTTGTTGGCTAGTGTTATTAATTTTCTTTTTTAATTATTTTTAGGGCCAAATCAGAAAAGACTAAAGTTTTTTATCTAAAACTTTCCGATGTCCATTCTGATGATTTAGTTCCCGTTTTTACGGAAGATCCAAATTTGGTTGAAGAGAAAAAAGAATCACCTTCAGCAATATTGGATGGGTTTATCAAAGATTTGATTGCTGGTTGTATTTATAAGCCTGGAATTAAAAACCAGAAAGAAGTTATTTCTAAATTATGGCGTAGCGGTGAGACTTTAACGATTTATTTATTTTATTAATAAACATATATATTTAAAGATATTACATTTAAACGTTGGATGGATAGAATGATACTGGAAGGGACTGAAGATTTTTTCTTTAAGGAATATATTTCGAATTCTCCTCCCCCGATGACCGAAGATGAAATAATTAAAATTGAAAATCCTCCAATTAAAGAGATTAAAATACCTAAAAAGAGTAAAAAGAAAGAAGATAAGAAAAAGGATAAGAAAAAGGAAAAGAAAAAGGATAAAAAGGATAAAAAGTCTGAAAAGAAATCCAAAAAATCCCCTAAAATGTCAAATGAAATGTCGGTTAAAGTGAGCGGAGAAATATTTTTTACTGACCCAAATTTGGCAATGTTCGATGTTCGTAATCCAAATTTAACTATAACAAATGGTTACGTTTTATTAGCCGTTGAAAAATTGATGACGCGACAACAAAAATATGATTTAAATCCTTTTGTTGTTAAAATAGACAAGATTGATGATTTAGATGTTGAAACGTTAAGAAAACTTAATTTTGATTCGATTTTTGTGCGTTATAACATTCCATTTTTGATGCGAGGCGAAACGATACCGAGAGATATTAAAAAATTGGTTCGTTTTAGCGAATCGCACGCTCATTTTATTAAAGATTTACCTAGTATGAAATTGGTTGAGTTTATACAAACTCAACGTTTTTTTGTTGAAATTTGCGGTAAAAGAAACGACCTAACTCCGGATGTTAAATCGGATTTATTCGGTAGCAAACGAAATGATGATCGAATTAGTAAAAGATTGTCGCCAACGGAAGCTTTTTTTAAATTACAAAAAAATAATAATGAAACAGTTATAAATGATACTGAAGTTATCGCTGTTGTTGGTTATGATTTATCACCTCTATTAATTCCAAGTTGGGGCGTTTCTGCGAATCAAGCTTGTCATAATCCTGATAATATTCAATACAAAAAAGTTAAATTATCTCCAATAGAAGTAGATGAAACCTTTATAACAGCTAATAACATAAATATTAAAACAATGTTTACAGAACATTCAAAAAATTCAATTTTAGAATATGATTTAATTGAATTTGGAACTACTTTAAAAGTTGAATTTGCTTTTGCCGCTCCAATAAATCTCATAGCGCATTCTGTTGGTGCTAAAGCTGAAAACTTAAATCGTATGTTTTTGGTTGTAAAAAAACTTGAAATGGCTGAAAGATTAATTGATTTTCTTTTGAATCATAATGAACAGTTAGGAGGTGATAAGATTTCGCCAAATCGAACTAGAAGTATTCATGAAATTGATTTAGATAGTGAAAGTTATATGACTGGTTTTATAATAGATAACGGAACAACTTTCGCATTCTATATTGAGGGATCTATTAAAGATTATATGATGCCTTTATGGGAAAAAATGATGAGAAGTTCACCGGAAGACGTTAAAATTTATTACAACGATCGCATGATTTTTACAAAGAGGCTTTATAAATATTTTGTTAGAATGGGCGGATTTTGTATAATCACAATGCAAAGACCTCTTAAAGATATTTTATCGATGGAAAAAGTTTATTTAGAAGGATATATCCCTTCACCGTGTTGGGATGCGCTAAAAAAACTTGATTTACTTTTTAGAAGTCCAACTTTAAAAGATATGACCATGTATAATTTATTTCCTACCGTTGATGAACTTTTAAGTTTTGACCTTGAATTTGGTACTTGTATGAGATGGAACGAATGTTATTCCGCACAAAAATTAGTGTCTATAAGTTCCGCTTCTTTTTATTCTTCTGAAAGTTAATGTACCTAAATTATGTTAACAAAAAATTATAAAAATCATAAAATAACTACTTTTTTTTATAAATTTGACATTTTCAATAATGTTATCATATAGTTTTTATATCATATCATAAACTAGAATCTTCAAACTTCCATTTGACATATATATTGTGATAAAATTAACCATCGTTTAGTTCACCGAGAGAACATAACCTTGAAATTTTGACAGAGAGTTTTTTGTTGGTAGAAATCTTATCTAAAACCGTTTAGTTTGCTTCCAAAAGTATCAATTAATATAGTTCAGCTCCTAAAGTACATTTTTCATCCATCCTTTGATGTTTTAACGTTATTTTGAGGAGGAAATCCTTGATTTAAAATTGAATTTTTCTAACTTTGCTCATTGATGAAATTTGGCGTGTACTCCAATGTATGTCTGAAAACAAGAAAAGACAACGTTGAATACGAAGTTTTATTACGTTTCATAAAGGAATAAGGGAGAAATCAACGAAAAAAGAATTTAATTTTGAAGGTTAATTCCGAGAAAAATCAAGAGATGACGCTAGTTTCGAAGCAAGAATTTTGAATTTTGAAAAGGGCGCGAAGCTAAGAGCCAATCAGAAACGAGGAAAAAACAGTTGGAGTGCCGGGGTATATAAGGAGATCGCGAACAGGGAGTGAGAGAGTCGTCGTCGGACCAGCGTCGAATCCACGTCGTCAGATAGAAGAAATTTTGAATCTCAAGAGATAACCTCAAAAATTTAAGATATTTTTTTAAAGTCAAATCATCTTACGA